TGTGAAACACTGATCATTGTAGAAATTAACTAATCAGTTGTCAAATGTCTTGTAGAACGTCATTTGAGTCGCCAAAAGGATGGTTAAAATCTTTGAATTGATCTTTCTCATAATTTTTAGTAGTGTGAGAGTTTAACCATCCATTTCGAAACTCAAAGGGCATTTGACAAGTGATTAGTAAATTTCTACGGTGATCAGTGGTTCTGGAGCCGGGCGTTAGGCCCGCGATCGACTGGCGACGGGGCCTAATAAAAACCCGTGTACACCGTCCGTGTTCAATCGCCGGCGACACATGTACTCGATGTATTAAACATGGCGACGGCGCGCGCGAAAAAACGATGCGACCGACGCGACGTCTGTGACGCCGTTGTCGTTTATAATTTGCGCGCGAAACGCTTTCGCGGTGCGTTCGGAAACTCGTGATGTATGCGGTACCTCGGCGAGGAGTTTTCTTCTCAAAATTTATGAAGAAAAAATGTACAAGGGAAGTGTTTTAGAGGTTAGATTTATTTGGGAATATTTTTAGGGATTAGATACTACTTATATCAAGCAAAAATTATGAATCATATTTAGCGTATATAATTGAATGATTCAACTTTCGCGAGATGATCCTGCATATTTTCATCTGTACCTACGTGCCTTTATTCCTCTTTTGTTTTTTTTACATAGATTCTATCATGCCATCAACTAATTATAATTGTCAAAATGTTTTTTTTTTGTTTTTGTTTAATTGATTTCGAAAGCTTTTTTCTTTTGCAGGTTCGTTTTGTATGAATTTAAGATGTATGTTAGCATCGTGAATAGTGTCGATAATACGCGGAGTGGACGTTAAAACAGCTTTTACGGTAGATGTTCACATTTAAGGTCGACGCACACACGGAGGCATGTTTGATGTTTTGTTCATAACATTATATATGTTATGAGGGCCGGGGAACAATCAGTATTTTCTCTAGTTTTGTTCTGGCTGGCTGCACCGCTGAGAACGGGGAAGAACGATCGCCTTGAAAGATAAAAAATTGAACCAACTGATATTTCAAATCCCGCAAAGGACCTGGGTTGAAACGTTTGAAACTGGGAATGAAAACGTTGCAATTTCCAATTTTCTACACATCGTTGTACATTTTATCAATGTATTTAGCTTTACTAAAATATGCATATAAGTTTTAGCATTTTGCCATTATTCGCCATAAAAACTTACTAGCACTTGCTAAAACAACGGAAATAAAGTTAATGATTCTTTTTATAACGCCTTCAGCAGCCTTTATCCTTCGTTTTCTAAAGAAAAACTCTTACGAAATAAAAACTAAGCATTTGCGAGTTACTACGGCGATTCCTCTCCAACAGTTTCCGATGAAGTTTATTGATAATAACGAATTATTCATTCCATAAGCATGAGAATCGAAACTCTCTCATCTAATACCAAATAAAAGGAATACAAATGAAATGAGATGACTCCGTGACGCAGTGGCCAAGGTATTGGCTTCGGCGTCGGGGGTCGTGGGTTCAATTCCCACAACTTTTTGTGTGACCAACTGTGTGTGTGACAACTATTTGTGTGACCCAGAGATAGTTGTTTCGTATCTGGGTGTTAGTCCGCGTGAAATTTATGTTTTTAAAACGTCCTTACAACGCAGGATAATGTTATCCAAAAGTAAAGGGCAACATTTTGTTAAATACAAATACAAACAAAAATACATATACAAATATACTTTTGTGTTCAGGAGGAATGTTGTATATAGTGCCAGAATTTTATAAATATTAGCTTGTGTTAGGTAATAACAATGCTATTATGGCTGTGATTTGAGATGGCGTTTGGAGACGGTCAAAGGTTTTCCTTGGCAACTCAGAAGTATCAGAAGTGAGTACAATTAATAAAATGTTAAAAGAATAAACTTCATCTTTGGAAATGAATCTTAGGACAGCTTATATTTTAATATAGAACATATTTTTTTTATGTGGTAAGTTGCCAAGCGAGCAGACGGTTCACCTGATGTTAAGTGAATACCGCCGCCCATGGGCATCCACTACACCCGAGGGTTGCAGATGCGTTGACAACCTTTTGAAAATTGGACTGTTTTAAATAGTATATGCGGAATTTCTTTCATGATAACAATTTACGTTTCGCACTGGCGGACTACTTATACATCTTTTCTATATTACAGAATGTACAGTAGATAACAAAAAACATTTAGATTTATTTCAGCCCTCATCCACGCAAAATCCCGTCGAAATTTTGCGTACCGAAAACAAAAAAGAAATAAAAACGTATAGAACTCAAAAATGACCAAAGAACTAAAGCGACACGAAGCGGCCCAGTTGCGAATGCGCCAAACGGGTCGGAAGCGAACCTCGCTCACCTGCCCTCTTTTTGCCGGGAAAGCGACGCTGATTTACCGCTCATTGTCTCATCGCGATGCCTTAACAACTGGAAGGGACTACGGGCAGTCTACGTATTAAACGCCAGCGTCACCTCGCTATAAGTAGAGCTTGGTGGGCTCCTAAACTAGCTTGGCGGCCTCCCAATCCGGTGAAATAATATTAGCGTGACGACCCTAGCGGTGGCTTTAGCCTAAGCTATAGCGAGCTGACTTATACAGGTAGCTTATGGTATTTCCTAAACTTAGCCGATGCGAGTCCTTAGATAGGGAGGGATGTTTATACTAACTCTTTTACTAACTTTCTCGTCTCTGTAGAGTTAGTTGCTTATCGAATGGCGTGGCTGCATAAATGGTGGAACTAAACATGAAGGTGAAGAATGAGAGCCTGTAACTAAAAGACTATTTTAAATTGATATTTAGTAATAATTATAAAGCGAATTGACGCAATCATAGTGACAACAAGATCAAATCGACTATATTACGCACACTTGATTACGATTTTCCAAAAAAATACATAAAAAATGTCTTACTATATAAATATATTTGGAAGAAAAAAAGAAAGAAAGAAACTGTCCACTTGTCACAATAAGGATCGAGCCGAAAATTTGGGAAGTTGATGATAGATAAATCCCCAATATCGAGACGTGCTATCGTCTCCCATCCAGTGGTTCTAAGTCCACGCGACCCGAAGCATCAAGGTGCCGTTTCGATACGCCGAATACGGCGGCTACGGAGCGTCCGTTATGGCGGGCGCTGTCTATGTAGCAGTTTATGTCGATCGCGCTTTTAATTGCGCCGATAAAGTTAAATCGCGTGTGCGTTGCGATCGATCGGCGGGAGGCATTCGTGTTCGCGCGTAAAGCATTGGACGAACGTTGTCACGTTACGTGAAATATGCGGGGGTTACGAGCGCACATGGCGCTTTTTGTGCTTCATGGCGATTTGTGATATGTTTACGATGCCGGCGTGCCAGTGCAAAAAATTGCATATCCCTACACGAGTCAGGTCGAATATAAGCATTCTGGGAGATTAAAGCCAGTATTCGCAACCTGCACATTCCTTGTCACGAGTCCAGACGCTCTAGCCATTAATCCATCAGTTTTTCTTAGAATTCTTTTCCAGATTTCATTAATTTCCGGATGCGGAACAACTATCTGTGGGTCACTCAAATAGTTGTCTCGTGTGGGAATCGAACCCACGACCCCCGACGCCGAAGCCTAAACCTTGGCGACTGCGCCACGGAGTCATCAAATTTATATTTACACTTGTTGTTCATCTGATGTTAAGTGATTACCTCCACCCATTCCAAAAATACTGATAGATTATAGTAGCGCTTCTAACCTCAAAGATGATGGGTCCATTGCTATTACTCATGAGAAAAAAATCAAAAACTTTGTTACATCGGGCAACTATGAAGCTAAGTACGTGGCTTTATCATTGTTAAATTACTTTGTTTAAGACTATTATAGGGCGATTTCTCTTGTAAACGTATACAACTATAAGAAAACAAACACTTTATTTTAAAGTGATTCATGAATCGAAAGATTAGAAATTGTGTGATTTAACATCAATTACATATAGACGATACTATAACGTCACAAAACAAATGCCGCATCTCATTGCGTTTCAGCGACAGATAAATCTGTAGATACCAATGCGCAAACGTTACGATCACGCGGTGCTCGACTTAGCCGGCCATGATAATTACAATCAATAATACGACTATCATACATTAAACTGTATAGGGGGCTATTAATATAGAAATATCGATCGCATTCCGAGACGTAACAGAGCTACGAAAACGTGAGAAAACGCAAACAGTCGCGCGCCAATTTCGCCACTAAAGAAACGCGACATGACTCCGAATGTAAAATACACATCCGCTCTTGAAGCCTTTCGCTTATAGAGTTGATATTGAAAAGTTAAACGTGATAAATAAACTTTAAGTAGCTGCGGCGCGACGAGCCAGAGGGGGACGGGTATATGCAATTTTCGAAAGTGGGAAAGAGCGGGCGACAGCACAAGAAGTTAAGGGTCGGACAAAACAAACACTGGGCGGCAATTACAAGCGCCCGCGGTGAGCGCCGCGCCGACGTGCCGCTTAGCAACGTCGAATTCGAGCACTATTTAAATCGAAATCTACTATTAAAACTGCAACATTCACATATTTATTGTGGTAGGGCCACGCACACACTGTTGCACGAATGGGCACGCGCATCCGGGGAAGTACCCCGACCTCACAGAAGACCTGCGTGGAGTGGAAGTATTGTACTTTCGCTTTTCGCCTGCTCAGTGAGGTACCCGGGGCCCGCTATTTTAAAAGTTGTCAAGGCATCTAAAAGCCCTCACAGGTTTTTTAGATGTTCATGGGCGGCGGTATTCACTTAATATCAGGTGAAACCAACCTTTTGCTAGCTTGAGAATTTTCACATAACAAAAAACTACAACTGTCTACTGCCTCATCGCATTGCATCATCATATTTTCATTGTTTCATGAAAGATATTTATGGTATTTATGATATAAGAAAGACGTGGGTTCGGTTCCCGCGGATTCCCGCGGCGAGAATCTTTTTGTATTTTTTCTACAAATTTAAATGCAAAGAACGTAATTGAAAAACACAAATGTGTGATCCTCAATCCAACGGGATTTTTAGACGCTGCTTGCAGGGTAAAATTCATCAGACGGTAATTTAACAAACGCGGGGAAATTCGCAAAGCGTATACTGGTCACGCACGCCGCGTGCTATCGAACCAACTACATCGGGCACAGCGAGCGAAAGCGGCTACTGGGCTACTGGGCCCTGCGCCATCCCCATACGAGTATTCACCGATACGGATTTATCGCGAGCGCAAGCGAAACGACACGCGATCGATGACGAGCGGCGGGTCAAAGGTGCCCATGATTACTCCTGGTGCGTCAGAGGCCAGAAGCCGCGTGACGGATGACCCCGCTCCCGCCGCCATCTACGGACCAGTTCCAAGGCTCCACTGAGGCGTCCCGTTGTGTGCGTCTCCGACAAATGACGCGCGTTTGTGTGTGAGCATGTAAGAACTGAGACTAAGTAACTTTTATGCAAGCGATCGATCTATTCTTTTTTCTAGTTGCCGGTTATGCTGGTCTTAAGTGATAATCCATTTGCCCCAATAAAGTTGGCCCCGGCTACCTCGCTCACCAGACGAAACGCAGAAGTGTGTCTAGTCTCGTAGTCTACTTTCCGTAGGTTTTCTTTGAGGTCGTGGTATTTACCCGGACGAGCCTGTCTACTTTATTTTGTGAGTCGGTGTTAGCTTTTACTGTTCGCAAATCTTGCATCAAGCCTATGCAAACTGAACAACGAAATATTGAGTTTCTCTTCCAAATGAAACTTTTTCATTGACAGTTGCGTACAACATTTATATACAAACACGAGGCTTAGTTGCTTAGCAACAAACTCTGCTTTTTCCTCCATTATAGACCCTTGCGCCGCTGATGCGACCCTGAAAGGACAAGCCTCATTTTATAGCGGCACGCGATGGGAGCGATGGATTTGAATTATTTAGTTGCACACCACCAGACGGCAAAATCGGAACGCCACAAAAACGGGGAAATGTGAGGAGTATCAACCTCAGTTAATAAATATAACAATAATTTATTTCTCACCATAATCAACAAAAGTGGCTATAAAATTAAGATAAACTATAAAAAAATACGATACAAAAACACATGAAAACAGAAACACAATATTTATGGAGGATTGACACTTGAACTAGGATGAATACTGTGTCTCAAGTAATCAACGCTCTACCCTGTAACAGAATCTTATAAAAAAGTGTACATAATTGCATCCAAATACAATATAAAACTATTTCATCATTAGGAAGAAGAAGAAGAAGAAGAAAAAGCGTTTATTCCCGGTCTAAGCACAATGGATACATACAAAACTTAAAGTTTAAGCTGAAGAATGTACAGTTAGGAAGCACATAGTCCGACGAAGTATCCAATAGAATAAGGAATTAAGGAATAAAAAGAATAAATAATACCTAGAATGAGTTTGTGTTATACGGAAAATTTTTGTAAATTCTTAAATGGCTAAATGTTTTTGACATTTGTGTTTTGTTTTGTAATGTGTTATTTTGTAAAGTTTCCGAGGAAAATAAAATAAATAAACCTTGATGATTAAACGCAGTTATTAACATTAAATAAAACTGAAACCTGGTCATTTACATAAGGATTCTTACTATAGTCATCACCAAGTAATGGAAGAAAGGTACATTTCTTAAGATTAATTTTTATTTTTAGTGCTAGTTAAGTGTCAGGGCGCAAAACCGTAAGACGTAGGTTCGAATCCCGAATCGCCCGATAGTTTCTGTTCATTTATCTAAAAAACATTTACAATCCAAAATATCTACAATTTCACCCAATTATTAATGTATAAATAACTGAATTATAGTCAAACACGTAAGAATTTATACTACCGTCTTAACCAACTAATGAAAGAAAGGTACATTTCTTACCATAACGACTTTTTTGCGCAGTTAAACGCATCTACGTATGCGCGACCTCCGTAATCGCGCAATTATTTCTATACAATACGGTGTTTATATTAAACACGACGTTTCCTCTGCGTACGTCGCGTTCACGGGTGGAAATTTATTTACCGCAAGTTACAACATCCACGCATATCTTTGCAGCGTACCTATAGCTTGTCCCTGCGAATATCGTTTGCGTGGTTAATAATGTATGTAATCTGTGACCATAGTTTATGGCAGTATCGTCGGCGGGTTTAAGAATAGTGATGATGTTAGCATTTAACGCAATGAGTTTGTAGAATTGGTTTGAGTCTCTTCAATATCGAAGTCGAGTAAGAGTACGTGTTTTCAAAATGTCTGTAAGAGAATTTTATGATATAACTACGATATAATTAACCATATATATAGATAATGAAACCGAAATAATGGTAATATTATTAAGCTCTTAGTAATGTTTAAATTACACTCTGGCTGTCGCTGAACTACCTCATTCATTTAAAGAATTTCGCTGTTTTATATTATGACTTCGTGGAGATCCCAATAACTCTTATTAACTTATTACACAACTTATTAAACAAATAAATAATCGTTCATACTTTCGCAACTTCACTTTTGTTTTTCTTGCGTGAGAATATCTTCAATATTTTGTGAATATATTTATCGGGCATCATCGTATCTTAGCAAAGGTATATGCGAAATTTCACCGCGAATTACCGATTGGAACATTAACATTCTCGAATTCTAACTATGCAATAATTCAACGGATTAATTCTACTTAATGCCTCGGTTGGCGCAATCGCCAAGCCTTAAGCTGCGGCAACTTAGGTCGTAGGTTCATTACCAAACGGTACTAACATTTATTCATTCCACAAATATAAATTTGTTCCATGTCTATTAAATAGATAAAAAGTTTCCAAAACACAGAATAGTGTTATCCTAGAACAACTATATAGTAAAGCAACAGTATATATTTATGTGTCCCACTGCTGGGCAAAGGCCTCCTCTGTACAGAGGGCATTAGAGCATAGTCCACCACACGGTTCCACCGCGCCCGGGAAATGCCTATCATGGCTACAGTTGAAAAATTGTAATAAAATAAAATCACAATAATTGTATCATTTCATTTATATATAAGTACACTATCGTCTTCAGGTGTACTCAATGTACGACGACTAACAAGGCGAGCGTACGCGGAACGAGTCGTTTATGCTAAAACCTATAATGCTAATGTGACAGGCGAGATGGATTGAACTCGCTAAAGCGCGCTGCCTGCGCCGCCGTTCCGGCATCTGGACGCACGGGCGGTAAATCAATTAGCCGAATGGTCGTCTGTTAAATGTCACTTTGACCCGTTCCATGGGAAAATGTCGCGGGTCGCCCCGGAAGCGGCGAAGATATGCGTTCGGTTTTCTTCCGGGGAAACTTCGACGCGAAGAATTAATTATACAGGGTGTATCGTAATTCATCATGGAGAAGTATTCTTGTTCAAAATATTATGCGGTGTGTCAGGTTGTGGTCGTTTCTGTTGGGACAATTGTGGGATAGGTATATTTTTTGATGGAATAGGAGCTAAAAACAACTGTTACGGTTCGTTTGCACGTGAGCAATTTGTCTTTGTAACACGTCATAATGAACGCAATTATTACACAATTATCGTTTTAAACACCCCGAGAATTGAATACTCTATTATTAAATTAATGACCTCTTTTATACATAATATTAATCATTAATTAAAATTGCATAACATCTGAGTCGTGAATGGAAATTAATTTCCTTTTTCTATTCATAAACTCACAATATTGTTATTTAACCGATTTGTGATGTTTTTGCCGTCACTAGTGATCAAATTGGTATTGGTATAGGTACACAAGGAATACTTTACGCAAAAATATATTTAAAAAAAAAAACAAAATTACTTTAGGCTGGTAGATATCTGTGAAATGCGAAAAGAGTAATGACGTGAGGGTGGGAATGACAGTGCATGTAGCACACACACACACACACACACACACACACACACACACAAACAAACACAGGCAAAAACACACGGCGCCTCATTAGCAACGTTATCGAGGCCGCGGGCGCGGTGCATAAAATTATGCCGATGCATTAGCGCACAAAGCTCCGTTTACATGCAGCGTCAATGGAATAGGGCTAAAACGCCGATTGCCCGGCAGCTAGCGCATTGCTTAAACATTGCTTAAACTGGAGCTAGAAGAGAAATTGAAGACCTGAAGGGAGTAGAGAAGCACGAGAGTTTATTAAGAATAATATTTATTGTAATTACATCTTCATCATAATCACCTGTTTGAGTCCATTGCTGAACAAAGGTTTACTCCACAGACTGCCACGAAGCACGATCCTGAGCCACCTGCATCCATCGACTTCCCACACACTTGCACAGGTCGTCACTCCATCTAGTGGGAGGTCGTCCCACACTGCGATGACCAGTACGAGGCTGCCACTCGAGAACCTTTCTTCTCCAACGGTTATCGGTTCTACAAGCTACATGGCCAGCTCATCGCCACTTCAGCTTACTAACCGTAATTACATACGTCGTGTATATGTTAAACATATTCATACCAACAGATAATTGTTAAGTTAACGATATAAAACTCAGATACACACACTAAAATATTATTTGCAGCATGTGCTTCCTATCCGTTAAATTTATCAATTTCAAATTTTATCTCGAGAAGTGTATCGACGCTGCATCAATATTTATTAATCATATAAATAAAATCAATATAGGTCCCGTTTTACTCTTTGGGTACGGAATCCTAAAAAGAGCGTCATGTAAGCCCACCCTAGCGACACAATCGCGTTCCCCGCACGGACGGATGGCTGCTTTTAGCGGGCGACATCGCCCGAGCCTGGACGCGCCAGCCTTCCCAACTTAAAACGATAAACCGCTAATAACACGAATAAATTCGCGGAGTACACCCACGCGCGCAGCCGACAGCCTCGATTGCTCCAACGCGAACGGTATGGTGCACTACAGCTGTGTTCAGCACCCAGCGGCTTGGCTAACGCTTTGTTTTCGATTCGATTATTTCTCGAAGACACATTTGAGACTGGAGATCATACAAAAAAGACAGACTGTACAAAATACTTTGTCAAAAATGACATAACCAACACGATTTATTTTGTTAACCGTTATACATATTCGTCGATCCTGAAGTATATAATTTTACAATAAATGATTTTTGCAAACTCATTTTGACACACTACGATGACTCGATGGCGCAGTTGCCGAGCTATTGTCGTCGGCGCCGGGTGTTCCTGGGTTCGATTTCCACACGGAACAAGTATCAATGTGACTCACAGATAATTGTTCCGGATTTGGGTGTTTGTTCCCAAGGAGATTTGAGGTCACAGGCGTGTCATAAAAAGGTAATAGCTAATAACATGATTCACATGTAGTGCCGACCCCACCTAGGTTAAGGGCAAGAGAAAAAAGTCAACACCGGGCAAGTGCGA